ATCTTAAGAATCATGGTTAAAACATGTTAAAGTAAGCTTTATTAACCTATGKAAACCCCTTACATTTTAAAATATCCTGATTCACTTAAATGATCATCAAACAATGATGGTTTTAATGGGGGGTTTGACAATAATGTCCAGTAGTTGTATGAAAATATCAAACATCAAGCCTGAATTAAAATCATTTTAAATATTGTTTGTATGCATTTAAGACAATTTTATGTGTTTTGCCCTGTTTATTGAGAGAAAAGCTGTCTCAGAGACCTGAGACAGCCCTCTCCCATGGGAGAGCATTTATATAGTTTCAATTCTTCAGAAAAACTTGGCTCTCAAGGTCACAGAAAGCCTCCAGAATACCCAAATGGCATGTTACTCTAGGTCAGATTACATATTATGTGCACACATATTTCATGTTTTGAGCGGTCTCACCTCAATTACGCTAGTTAAGTGTTTATATAAGAAAAAGTTGTCTCGCCTCACAGGGTTACTCTACCAGCCGGATGAATGGGGAGGGGGTCCTGGTCTTAGTCCTGAGACAACACTGCTCCATCTACACTTATTTCAATAAAGTTAGTCACCAAAAACCTAGAAAACTAAGATCACTGAGGATCATGGGAAACAATTCATTTCAAACAAGTAAAGCTTTTGTGATACAGACTGCAGCTTGAGGATGCTCAGGAGAGGTGAGACTATAACTGGTAAAAGATGTGCAAGTCCATCAACAGTTATCAAGCGGTTGAAACATGTAAAATGTATCGACCCATAATCCTTGTCGGCCTCAGCTTTATAGCTTTTCAGGTGACTAACTTTATTGAAATAAGTATATAAATAGCAATTATAGCAAATCTGAAAAAGTACACATTGGTACTCTAAATTAGATGATCTTTAATGGATATTTCAATATAGTCTAGTTCATTTAAGCATTACAAAGTCAACGATGTCTTCATATAAGCGGTTTTGAACAAGATCCAAATTTTAATAATAGTTTGACTCGTACACAGACCAATTCGGCTATTTATAACGCAATGCTTTAMYYAACTCAAATCTACTGSGAATACTTTTCTTTGTCTATAAWATTTACATATATGCATAACAGTACTTTATTGTCATTTAAGACTTAAATATAATGTACAAAGTAAAGTATTCCMAGTAGATTTGAGTTGGGTAAAGCATTGCGTTTAAGACGAATATAATATTTGCTCTTACCATGGATGTTCSGATGAAAGCCAAATTCTTATACAGTTATGTACTTACTCAATTGAAAATAAATAAGAATTCATGAAAGCTACAAAATTGGTTAAATAATGTTCTACTTACCAATTACTATAACCTTAGGATCAAAACAGTCTTTTTTACAAATTGATGATTATGATAAACCTGTTATGAGTTACATATCTCGAGCACAGATGACTCTTCCGGCTTTTTGGTCAGCGGGTTGATAACAAAGCAGGAAGGCGTTGGAGGACTCTGGGCACGAGATTGATAAAGTTCTGAACGGAAGCCTACATTACTTACTATCAATCACGTGACTTTTTGGAGTTGACTGGGGTGCAAACAAGCGGTTGACTGGGGGGCAACTAGCGGATGCTAAGTCAAAACATATCAAAATAAGTCCTCAAACTATTGTATTTGACTATTGTATTTGACTATTTTCACGACATCAATGATTTATTTGGGGTGGCCTGTCGCAGTAAAGTCAACTTTCACCATTTTAATTTTCTGCGAACAGCACGTAGAGACCTGATTCAGATTACAATCCATGAAGGCCATACTTGTGCAGAAAAATTGATACCCTGGCTGGCGCTTGTCTAATTAAAATCACAGGGGTAGAAACAATGAAAAACATTAACAATAACTTGAAAAGATTTCAATTCTAAAGAAAAGGGAATTCTTCCCCCATATTAGAAATTGTGCAAGGGTTCTATATTTTATCGTTCACATTGTTCTCAGCAACGATGACCGATTGCCCATGCGATTTCTATTCTTTAGTGGCTGCTAATATGCTGAGGTTTTCCCTTTAAAGTCATGTACAAACATATAGGCGAGGTGAACAGGTAGACAGCACCATGTACACCTGATCAAACCGCTGTCTGTTATCTGCCTTTATACGGATGAGCCATGTCAGAATGCGTCCATGAGCCTTTGTAAACTTATCTTGGAAGTATAAGCCTGAAGCGAGATGATGTTTTACCCCGACTCTATGCCATAATAGTTTTTAAAATTCTTTCATATAAATTTTTTTGATTCCTTAGAGAATACAGGAACAATAGTCATAATTAAAGAACAAAAGCAATGTGAAAAGAATTATGGTCTAGAGACGGGGGTAAAACGTCATCTCGCTTCAGGCTTATTGGTCAGGTCGCGAAAAAATAAATAAGAACGATAATATTAATCAAAAAACTGATGTAAGATTCGATCCTAAGTACGTAGAGCATGCATTTGACATCTTGGTATAGTATAACTTCTTTTCTGCACTCTTCCGGAATTCTTCTGTTTGTTTTAAAAGGCAGGTTCTGTTGACATAGCAGAAAAAGAATCTTAGAGACCAGTCATTAGTTATCGCCTGGATAAAAGGAGGGTACCTTAGTAACGACAACGACAACGACAACGACAACGACAACGACAACGACAACGACAACGACAACGACAATGAATGTAATGGAATGCTGTCAAGAGACGATGCAAAGAACCTTTCCTAATCAAATAAGATCCTCCCTAATCAAATTAGATGCTCCCTAATATTATTTTAATGATCTTTGAATTTCAGGGCCGAAAAAAAAAAAAAAAGAAAAAAAAAAGAAAAACAAGGACTGGAATTGATGGATCCTCAAGCCAGGCAAACAGCAACTCACCAATTAAGGAAACAACCAACTCCATTACCCCAAGCACAGTTATGGATATGCCAGAGTCCGTCTCCATCCATATAGCCACAGCCACCAACCTCGTTATTAACGTTTTCATGCCAGTTGGTGTAATTAACTGGAATTCCATTTATCCATTTAAAGTTATTAGCGTTATTACTATTTGTAGGATCGTGGAGTCCTATCCACATCCATCCGACTTTGAGGACCAACAGTCTAACGAGCTCGTTTTCTTCGGCCGAGTTAATTGTTGGAAGGTCGGAACCGAGTCCTTGACATATTGTCCTAGCGGCGTCATATGCAGACATACGGTCTTTGTGGTATCCTGTAATAAACAAAACCAGTCTGTCATTTATCTTTTATTCAACAAATGATTGTTTCTAACGGTTTGGTTGGACATACCAAAATCAAAAGATTTGTAGACAGCTAGAAAAAATAAACATTGACATGTAAGGTTCCCCTTGTTCTTAGTACTGGCTTTAGGCATTGTGCTTTTGGTTGTTCCTGTCTTTTTCTTTTCTTTTTGACAGTTCAATGATAACCGGAGACCATACTTATTCCAGACGTCGAATGCTGAACCGACGCATGGTATCGCAACTATTTACGGCTGTGCTGGAGATTTCGACCCCAACACCGCTATCCCAGAAGCACTGAATTACAGACTGTTCAGGAATTTCGACTAAAGTGGGCCTAAGGGAAAGGTTTATCAGCCCCCTTTCTCCGTTCGTTATTCACTTATGTTAAAAATACTAAAAACATTATTCACCTTAGCCTGATTCAGTGAATATTTAGTTTTAGCATATACCAACTTGTCTACAGAGTAACTTATTTTTATATACAATAATTCAATAAAAACAAACAAACAGAAACTTTTAGTTTGCGTGACAAATTCACGCAAAACTTTTAGCAAAACTTTTAGGCCATACTTCGTTGCCTTTTTAGTATTGATAGGAATGGAATTTACTTTCAATTTTTCAATTTCCTCATCGGAAATCGTAGCAAAACGATTGCCGGCAGATGCCATTTTGTTAACGACTCAATATTCCGAGATTCAGAGGTGAATATCGTACAATATTCACCTCCAATTAACCAATGAGCGCGCGCGTTCTTAGGAAGTAAGTTGGTATATGCTAAACTATATTATTATTAAAACCATACTTTTTTGGCAGACGTTTCCCAAATATCCATCAACACAAATACAGACGAATCGGTCATGGTCCAGATCTGTTACACATGACGCGCCGTGCAGACAAGGAGAGGACTTGCAGTAATCGATTTCTAAAGATTAACAAATTGAATTATTCAGTAAAAGTAATATAAGAAGTTACTAAAATAGGGAATGGGGAATGGGGAATGGGGAATGGGGAATGGGGAATAATTGGAAATGGGGAATGACCGGGAATGACCGGGAATGGGGAATGACCGGGAATGGGGAATGACCGGGAATGGGGAATGGAAGACTGGGACAAGCGATCAGCGGTATTACCCTTAAAAAGTGTCATGGCGCTTGCGCTTGCGATCTATCTTTTCTTATAATGAAAAATTTGCCAAATATTCTACGGCAGTGGTTCGTAATCGTACTAAAAATGTTCGATAAAAAGGAGACTGATAATCAGTAAGTATTACATTTAGTGTTTCGATTCATATTCAGCTAATTC